ATCCCACATACGGCCCGGTTCCCGCTCACTGACTGAGCGAGGTGCGGGGGCAACACCGAGGGTTGCAATCCCGTTGCCGGTCCCCGGTCCGGTACGGGGGCAACACTGAGGGTTGCGATCCGTTGCCGGACACGGAAAAAGACAAAAAGACAAAAAAAAAAAAAAAAAAAAATCTGAAATCAACCCAAATGTCCATCAACTACGGAATGAATAAACAAAGTACAGTGTATTCATACAATGGAATACTACTCAGAAATAACAAAGAATGAACTACTGACACATAAAACAAAATGAAATCTCAAAAATATTATGCTAAGTGAAAGAAACCAAATGCAAAATAATACATATAAGGGTACTTCAAAAATTTCATGGAAAAATAGACTTAAAAGATAATATAACCCTTTCCATGAACTATTTGAAGTACCTTCACACTGTATAATTCCATTTCTATGAAGTTTTAGAACAGGCAAAAATGTCTCTGTAGTGATAAAAATATAGAATGAGACTTTACTGAAAGGGGGCAAGAGTAAATTTTCTGGTATGATGGATCTAGTTTATATCATGTTCTTAGTGGAGATTGCATGGGTGTATAATCAAAAAGCTATCAAGCTGTATACTTAAAATTTATACATTTTCTTAAGTGTAAATAACACTTCTAAAATAAAATTTAAAGCCTGAAAATTTTGTGTAGCTCGATACATTGTTCAAAAAAAAATTTATTCGGCCATATTATGAAAAATTAGTGTTTGGTTTGATTTGGTAACACATCTCTAAACACTAATATTGACATCAATGGAATGTCCAAACACTTACATGTCTCCATCAGAGACATAATCTCTGGGTTAGATAGATGCTTCTGCACTGGACAGGACTCTGGTATGTCCATAAAAGAAAGTTCGAATTTTATTAAATCTATTTATAAAAACTGAACAGAGCCCATGAAGTTGAGGTGGACACATAGTGGGAACAAGAACAAGAAATAAATACAATTGCAGAGATTCATCCCTTCTCATCTAACCTTCTGCTGTGAGTGCCACCAGTTATTGCAATAAGTTTATGTTTTTTTCACCAACAATAATGGCAGAGCATCAATCTATGTAACTTATCTAATA